TCGTCGTCGAGCAGCAGCAGCAGCAGCAGCGGCGGGGGGGGTGGGGGAGGGAGGGGGAGCGGCAGCAGCAGCAGCAGCAGCACAGCAGCAGCAGCAGCAACGCAGCAGCAGCGGAGCGGGGTGGACAGGCAGCAGCAGCAGCAGAAAGGGCGGCTGAAGAAACCCTTCGACCCCGAATCCTCAGCCCCTAAACCCTAAACCCTAAACCCTAAACCCTAAACCCTAAACCCTACCTTTGCAATGACTTCTGCGGTTTCTCTAAACCCTGAGCAGGCGCTTATGTTTGACTTCGCCAGAAACTCATCCACCAATCGAATTCCAATATTGTAACCCCTGCAGCAGCAGCAGCAGCAGCGAGCAGCAGCAGCAGCAGCAGCAGCGAGCAGCAGCAGCAGCAGCAGCGAGCAGCAGCAGCAGCAGCGAGCAGCAGCGAGCAGCAGCAGCAGCAGCAGCGAGCAGCAGCAGCACCAGGGTGCGGACGGCATGGACGAGGGTGTTCAGCTCCACGCAGCACACTCCAAACCCTAAACCCTAAACCCTTAACCCTAAACCCTAAACCCTAAACCCTAAACCCTAAACCCTAAACCCTAAACCCTACATTTTTTCGAGTTGCTCATTCACCGCGTCCACCTGCTCAAAGTCCTTCAGCAGCTGCGCCACTAAAGAGCCGTATGTCAGACACAGCAGCTCGGAGTTCTGCAGCAGCAGCAGCAGCAGCAGCAGCAGCAGCGGCAGCAGCAGTGGCAGCAGCAGCAGCAGCAGCAGCAGAGGCGACACGCACGAGAAGGCACAGTGAGTGGAAACGGCAGAGGCGAAAATTGCTGCTGCTGCTGCTGCTGCTGCTGCTGCTGCTTCGAAACAGCTTGCTGCTGCTGATCTCGCTGAAGCTGGCGCTCCTGAAGCAGCAGCAGCAGCAGCAGCAGCAGCAGCAGCAGCAGAAAAGACAATTCCGGAGACACTGAGACGAGGACAATAGCTGCGGCAGCAGCAACAGCAGCAGCGGAGGCAGCATTAGCAGCAGCAGCAACAGCAACAATAGCAGCAACTCAGCCGGCAGCAGCAGCAGCAGCAGCAGCAGCAGCAGCAAGCGTTTCACTTACAGCCTTTTCGATTCTATGGGAAATTGCCTCCCATTGGAAGACCATGAAGTCCTTCGACATCTTCCTAAACCCTAAACCCTAAACCCTAAACCCTAAACCCTAAAGTCTATATACGCGTATGTGCAAGTCGCGGCGGATTGGCTGCGGCAGCAATGCTCCGAAATGTCGGCAGCAGAAGGAGCAGCAGCAGCAGCAGCAGCAGCAGCAGCAGCAGTGGTGACTGCAGCAGCAGCTGCAGCAGCAAATTGAACAGCTGATTAACCAAGCAGCAGCAGCAGCAGCAGCTTCATGCGCATTAAAGTGTAACAACAGAAGCTAGGGGCCCTTAAGGCAGCTGCTGCTGGGGGCCCCCCAGTGTTGCTGCTGCTGCTGCTGCGTGTATAACAGCAGCAGTAGCAGCAGCAGCAGCAGCCGGCGCTGCTGCTGCTGCTGCTGCTGCCGCCGCCGCCGCAGCAGCACCAGTCGCTATTGCCTGCTGCTGCTAGCTAACCCAAGACAGATCTGCAGCAGCAAATTAATTCGATTTTAAATTAATAAACAGCAACAGGGAGGCAGCGGGAGTTGGCCCAGGCCCCCGCTGCTGCTGCTGCTGCTGCTGCCGCTCGTTCTTGCTGCAGCTGCTGCTGCATGCAGAGCAGCAGCAGCATATGCTGCGGACGCAGAGCGTGCTGCCGCCCCAGCTGCTGCACCTTTGCGCGAGCCTCTGGAGCAGCAGCAGCAGCAGCAACAGCAGCAGCAGGAATAGCAGCAGCAGCAGCAGCAGCAGCAGGAGATTGCAGCAGCTGCACCCACTCCGTGGGCCGCTTGGTCGTACGCGCCCAAACGGCAGCGCATTGCTGCAGCAGCAGCATCAGCAGCAGCAGCAACAGCAGCAACAGCAATAGCAGCAGCAGCAACGGCAGCGACGGCAACAGCCGCAGCAGCAGCAGCAGCAGCAGCAGCAGGGAACGACGGGCAGATTCCATCCTTCGGCGGTCTCTGCAGCAGCAGCAAGGACTGCAGCAGCAGCAGCAGCAGCGCCCGCCGCAGCAGCAACTGCAGCACGAACTGCAGCACGAACTGCAGCACGAACTGCAGCACGAACTGCAGCAGCAGCAGCAGCAGCAGCAGCAGCAGCAGCAACCTTTGCTGCATGTTAGGCAGACGCCGCAAACTCCCCGGGGGGCCCCTCTCGCTGAGTGGGGCCCCCGGGGGGCCCCCCAGGGCCCGCTGGAGGGAAGAACTGGATGCTGCTGATGCTGCTGCTGCTGCAGTGCTGCCAGCACTGAGTGAAGATGATTTGCGGCTGCTGCGGGAGGACGAGGAGCAGCAGGAGCAGCAGCAGCAGCAGCAGCAGCAGCAGCAGCAGGAGCAGCAGCAGGAGCAGCAGCAGGAGAGGAAGAAGAAAAGGAGAAGGTTTGAGTGGATGGACTCCGACGATGAAAGCGTCACCGCCAGCAGCAGCAGCGAGGACGAGCAGCAGCAGCAGCAGCAGCAGCAGCAGCAGCAGCAGCCGCAGCAGCAGCAGGAGTCTTCAGACATGTCCCGCAGCCCCAGCCCAGACGTGAGCGCCAGACTCTCCACCTCCCCCTCAGCAGCAGCAGCAGCAGCAGCAGCAGGTCGGAGGAGCCAAGACAGCAGCAGCAGCAGCAGCAGCAGCAGCAGCAGCAGCAGCGCATCGCCGTGTGGGGCGTTGGGATCGTCTCCTCCGCGCAGCCGCAGCGGGAGCAGCCTGTCCGTGGCGAGTCCGCGCAGCAGCAGCCTCCGCAGCAGCAGCCTCCGCAGCAGCAGCAGCAGCAGCAGCAGCAGCAGCAGCAGCAGCAGCAGCAGCAGCCCCGTGTCAGCTCTTGCTGTTCTCAGCGAAGTCCGCCCCGAGCAGCTGCAGCGGCTGGACGCTTTGCTGCTGACCAACTTGCCCTTCGAGCTGTCCATACACTCCATTTCCCTTTGGTTCGAGTCCACGGCCAAACTCAAAGTCCGCGACATCCAACCAGTACCCTTCACGCCCCCGGGGGGCCCCCCGGGGGCCCCCCTGGGGGCCCCCGGGGGGGGCCCCCCGGGGGGCCCCC